GACTAATACATTTTAGAATATATACAGATGCCCGAATGTGAATTTGGGGTCCTCCCCCCCATCCCGTCTTATCCACAATGGCTTTCTATTCTAAAAAATCTTTTTTTAATCATTTGAGATTTTTCTTTCTTTCTTTCCCAGGTCAGATTTAACTTCTGTTTCTGACTCACATTGCATTCTACTAACATTCAGGGGAAAGTTCTATGAACTCTTTTTTTTCTTTTATTCTTTCTTTTTCTCTTTGAGTCAGTCTGGATAAGGTCTTGCAATTTTCTTGGCAATAGTTTTGAAAGTGGTTTGTTTCCTTTCAGAAGTTGTGGGTGCTTCATCACTGGTTTTTTTTTTTAAAAAAAGAAGAGACTGGGCAGCCATTTGTCCGAAAGGGCACAGGGTGTCCTGCTCGAGCAGGTGGTTGGACTAGATGACCTCCAAGGTCCCTTCCAACTCTATTCTGATGATTGATTGATTGATTGGATGGTTACACATAGCTTCTGCAAGTTTCTGTAGCTTGTGTGTTCCTCAATTTTCTCTTAAGTCTCTCCAGATGTCTTGGAACAACAATTCCCATTGGCCCTGCTGTTCAAAAACCCTTGAGGTCCTTCTTCTTCCAATGCACCGAGGAGTTGGTTGACCTTTTTTGGGAAGAGGCTTCCTACACCTCAAGAAAATACCATTTAATTGCAGGTTAGGAAAAATGATGGGAAACACAGATGTTGCTTCTCCTCCAATATCTTACCCTCAACTTGGCGTTCCCAGAACGTTTGCAACCATGGATGGAATTAGAACTTCCTTCTATTGTCCACACATGATGTCCCACAGGTCCTGACTGACGCATATTTCATCAGTGAGTTGGCTTCGAGCAGTTGCCTTGGGAATTTCACAGTGCCGGTCATTCAGTGAAAAAAATGGCCAATAAATCTCATCAACTTTCCACTTTCTTCTTCTTTCGGTAATGTTTGGGACTTGACATTCCTTGAAAGAGTCCCTAATATAAATCAACTCTTAGAATTGTTCTTTGATGTGGTAGTTTATTAATACAAACCCTTTTTTTTAGTGAGAGCACCTCGCTTTTCATGGCAGCAGTTAAAAAGCTTTTTTTTTTAGTCCAAATACTTCCTTGATATGCCGAGCTTCGCTTTGGCACTCCAGGTAACAATCACAATTATTCTTTGCGTTTATTTTTAGAATCAGTGGTTTTTTTATGCAAACAAAAAATTAGTATTTGTACTTTAAAATGTGATTTGAAAATGTATCCTGTGGTTTGCATATATTTTTTTTTAGTGAGAAGGTTTAAATATTTAATTTCTTTATAAAAACGGGGTCAATTGCGGCCGTCAGTCAGTTATTTACCTGTGTAAGTAAGCATTGCTTCCTCTATATTTTCCTGGCATTTTATTCCACGAAATATTTTGAAGGACCCGTTCAAGAGGTTGTGTTTTCATTGTGTGTTCAAATGTCTCTTCACCTTCCTAGGGAAGATTTCCAGTGGAAGAAAGTGAAAAACAAGCCAGTATCTTAAATCTAGTTTTGATCAGATCTTTCTTTTTCTTCCCAACAGAGTTCGTGGAGATATGGATGTCATCACAAACCCACTGATCGGTGCACACGGATACTGCACCCAGGTAAATAGCAGAGCAGGGCCCGTGAGTTGGAGGTGCAGCTAAAAGGAACAATCCATGGGGAATTGTTAGTTGCCAAGGTGTCAAATCAAGGTAAGCTGTAACATGGTACTACACTAGAGTAAGAAGCTGTTCGATGTCACTTTGAAGGCTCATCAACTTGCTGATGTCCTCCAGGGACCCATAATGCAGCCTCTCTTGGTGGTGGCCCACTTCTGGGCAAGACCTGGCTCAAAAACAGTAACTGTGAGAGTGACCTTGGAGTCCTAGTGGACGATCAATTGACCATGAGCCAGCAATGTGCAGCAGCAGGCAAAAAAGTGAATACAGTCCTGGGTTGTATAAACAGAGGCATAGAATCAAGGTCAGGCAAAGTATTAGTACCGCTTTATAAAACCCTAGTGAGGCCCCACCTGGAATAGTGCAGCCAAGTTTGGTCACCATATCACAAAAAAGTGGTTGAGAGTTTGGAAAAAATTCAGAGAAGAGCAAGTAAGATGATCCAAGGCCTGGAGACTAAAACATACGAAGAACGGCTGCAGGACTTGGGTTTGGCTAGTCCACAGAAAAGAAGAAATAGGGGAGACATGATAGCAGTGTTCCAGTGTCTGAGGGGCTGCCACAAGGCAGAGAGGATCACGTTATTCTCCAAAGCACCAGAAAACAGGACAAGAAACAATGGTTGGAAATTGAACAAAGAGAGAAGCAACCTGGAATTAAAGAGTGAGGACAATTAACCAGTGGAACAGCTTGCCTCCAGAAATCGTCGGCGCTTCATCACTGGAAGTTTTTAAGAAAAAGCTAGACAGTCACTTGTCTGATATGGTATAGATTTTCCTGCTTAAGTGGGGGCTGGACTAGAAGACCTCCAAGATCCCTTCCAGCTCTATTCTGTTCTATCTCTGCACATTAACTGTGCAGAAAGATTCAAATATGGTTTATTTGTGACACCTTTCAAGGATATTCTTTTCTCAAGCAGAACTGTAGAAATACTCAACTTTAAATATATTCTTCAAACATTCCCTGTTCATCCACCACGGGGCAAAAGCTACTTAACAACTGTCTCACTTAGCAACCGAAATATGGGGCTCAGATGTGAGCATCAATCAAGGACTACCTGTATTATCATGTATACTGGTAGTCCTACGACCACAATTGAGCCCAAATTTTTTGTTGTTAAGTGAGACATTTTTTTAAAAAGTTTTTAATTTCCATTTTTCATTACACTCATACAAAATATTTCAGATAAAGAGTAAAATAAATTTATACACACAACTTTCGGTATTGCTCACTCATTTCCCCCCAAACCGCATCCTCCCTCTGACTTCCTCCCTTACTTCCCTCTTTCCCTCTTCTTCCTCACTCTCCCCCTCTCCTCCTTCTCCTCAACCTTCCTACTTGCTTCTCCCCTTCCTCCTATCTTCTCACTCCGGATGCGGTCCAGGGGAAATGCCCGAGCAATTCCTCTCTAAAACATCAATATTATATACAATAAAACTATTTCTACTTATCTGACCTATTTAACCTCCAACCCACCCTCTCCTCCCCCCTCCCCCACTCCCCCCACCCCGACTTCCCAGAGCCAAGTACAGGGTTATACAAACATATTAAACATAATCAACTTAACTTTACTAATTATACAATAACCAAAATCATACTAACCCTTAACTCCCTTCAAACTTTAACATCATAATTTTATAAACAAATCCATTATTCATAAAATAAATGAAACTTTGTAGTTCCATATTTCTTCTGAACATATTCTTCATATCCATCTTCTCCATACAATAACATATCTCTCTTGTGAATGATCCTTTAAATAAGCAGAAATTTTGGCCATTTCTGCTAAATTAGAAACCTTAAATACCCATTCTTCTAAAGTAGGCAAAGAGAAGTGAGACATTTGTTAAGTGAATTTTGCTCCGTTTTACTTTCTTGCCACCATTGTTAAGTGGATCACTGCAGTTGTTAAGTGAGTTACACGGTTGTTAAGTGATTCTGGCTTCATCATTGACTTTGTTTGTCAGAAGGGGATCACCTGAACCCAGGACACTGCGACCGTCATAGATATGAGCCAGTTGCTGAGCATCTGAGTGTTGAACACGGGATTGTGGGGATGCTGCAATGGTTGTAAGCGTGAAAAACGGTCGGAAGTCAGTTTTTAACTTGAATGATCATTAAACAGACTGTTGTTAGTCAAGGACAACCTATAATTGAGCTTCCATAGACCTAAAAAGTAGAAGAATTTTGATCCTCTTCCTTAAATTCATTTCAGGCAAAGGCTGACTTGGAGCCAAGTGATTGTATCAGATCTTTGAGTCTGTCTGACCAGTGCTTAATCCACCCGCTCTTTTGTTCTCTTGAAACTAGGAACTGGTCAACCTGCTACTGACCGGCAAGGCCGTATCCAACGTCTTCAACGATATGATGGAGCTGGACTCGGGAAACGGCAACATCACCATCCTGAAAGGCGTCACTGGCCGTAGCGACCTGGGCTTGTTGTCCCTCTTTGAGCATTACGATGTCTGTCAGGTATGGAGAAGACTTGTGAAAAAACTGGGGCTGACATCCCTTTGTCTGAAATCACGTGAAGTGTTAATATCACTCTACAAGGCCTTGGTAAGGCCACACTTGGAATACTGCATCCAGTTTTGGTCACCACGATGTAAAAAAGATATTGAGATTCTAGAACAGTGGTTCTCAACCTGTCGAACGACCATTTCACGGGGGTCGCCAAACAATGCAGTCCGCCATTTTTTCCCCTTTTCCTTAGCTGTGCTACTCCCTTTTATTTCTATTGGCTTTTGAAAGCCAATAGAATAGACTCTCTTGAATAGAGTCTAATTCTATTGGCTTTCAAAAGCCAATAGGAATTGTCCAGGCTGTCTCTGCCCTGCTGAGCCCGCCAAAAGTCCCATTCTGCAAACGGTGCTGCACCAGTTGAGTAGTCCTCGACTTACAACCGGTTGAGTAGTCCTCGACTTATGACCAGTTGGGGGTCGCGGCATTAAAAAGATTGAGAACCACTGATTTAGTGGGTGATATTCAAGAGGCTGCCACAAAGAAGAGGGGGGGGGTTCAGTTTATTCTCCAAAGCCCCTAAAGTCAGGACAAGAAGCCACGGATGGAAACTAATGAAGGAGAGAAGCAACCTAGAACTAAGGAGAAGCTTCCTGACAGTTAGAACAATTAACCAGTGGAACATCTTGCCCTCAGAAGTTTCATTAGAAGTTAAGAAGAGATTGGACAGTCATTTGTCTGAAATGGTATAGGGTCTCCTGCTTGAGCAGGGGGTTGGACCAGATGACCTCCAAGGTCCCTTCCAACTTTACTATTATTATTATTATTATTAGGAGTTGATCTTTTGTTCCTCTGCTATTG